GTCCGGGGTTATCAGGGTCCTTATAGGAATTTAGACCTTTGTTGGTGACCTTAAGGATAGTTCCATCCTTGACACTGAGTTCCAACTGTTCCAAAACAGTTTTGCGGTCCAGACCATGGGACATGTTGACGGCATTGCAAATGCGCTCCTCCGACGGCCTCTGTTTCTGCTTCTTGACCTTTTTGATAGCTTCTAAAATCCATTGCGTATACATGGGATTGGCCAGTTTCACCATGGCGGCGGTCCGAATGTGTAGACGCACTAGGGGATGAGCACGGTTAGCACACGGAAAATTAGATACAGGACGCCAAGGGTTGGCTTGGCCTGCGCCGTAGCGCTGCCGCAGTCTCTTCTTCTGCGCCCTCCTTCTGCTTTCTATCCCTTATCCTGAGGTCGTATGGGGAGTCCCTCGGAAGGTGAGCGTGAACAAAACGGGGAGGAGCAACTAACCATAGCACAGACCCCCTGAGCCAATCCTCACCCCGTAAAGTCCAGTCTTGTCCACCACCAGGTGTCAGCCAGGTGATGACTCCGGGTAAGAAGCAGAAGGCTTAACGAAGAGATGCTGTGCTAGAAACTAAAACTGTTCAGTGCCCGAAATATACCGATACCAACAACGACTATTGATATTGTTGTTGCGAACTTGCTTAAATAGAACACCGTCGCATAAAAACATTTTTTATGCGGATGACAACACGAGGCGAGGAAACGTCTGTCCAGAACTTCATTTCTTGTCTTGTTTTCTTCTACTTGATCGGCAGTTGAAGTCTATAAGACCAGGGATGGAGGAGAAACCACAGATTCCAGCCAGTAGGCGGTGCTGATCATATTTGTGTCTACAGCGCTGGAATCACTTCAAAGTCTGCAAAACACAAAAGGATATGTTAGTGAAGAAACTGCAGCTCACACGTGACCAAAAAAATCAGATAAAGGCAGTGAAAATGTATCTGTACTTTTACTTTTTTAGCTTCCCACAAAAAGAAAGGGCAAAGTTACTTTCTGTTTGGTAGAAAATGAATGCTAACACACACATTGTACAAACAACAATAACAATTAAAAGCAAGAAAAAAGTAAATTTTGACTATTTAAATATGTTATAAAATAAAACAATGTTGTATTAATTTTGTAAAATGTCCATATTACTCTAAGGACGGATCTGTTATACAAAAAATGTGTGGTGACAAATGTTCGAAACATCAACCATCCTCATACTGGCATAAATGATGCTAAAGTTTAAAACTAATCATACAAACCGACCAAATCAAGCCCTAGATTTTGACTGTTCCGTATGATAACAAAGCAGACGGACGTACCACAAAAAGTTCGTTCGTTCGTTTAGTAGGTCTGACGTAACCAAACAACGTTCCCGAAACTAATCCAGGTACCAAAATGTGTCAGTCTCTAACAAGCTAATGACCTTAATTGTATAATTACGAAGAACAACACAGTTACTGTATCACAAGTACCGGGGAAAACAAACTGTTTTTGACTATACAACAACAAAACACTTTGTTGTTCGTTTTTATAGATAAGTCATATACATTTTGTACTTTTGATACTGTTAAAAATGTATCAATTTAAAAAAAGCAACAACATGGACTCGGATGTTGACTGTTGTGCTACAGGGTTGCTAACGTAAACATGATGCAATCAAAACACAGGCTGTTTCCTCCGAATCCCCGGAAGGCTGAATAAAAAACGCAGCCAAAACAACCGGATATATTATCCCAAACAAGTGCGGTCCACCTGACCGGGGGAGATACTTGGCGGCTAAATACCGACAAAAGCATTCCCGCTAACCGCTGTTGTTAACCGAGCTAACTCGAGCGGCTAACTGGGCGAGCTAACGTTCCAGCGGTGTTACTAACCGAAAACGTAAACAGCGTCGAATGTGAGTTCCGCCGTCGCGCAGACGTTAAAAGGCAACATTCTTAGTCAATCCCACAACAGGCATCGCCAAACGCGGCATGGCGAAACGAGGCGATCAATGTTCCTTAAAATGACATTCTAATATTAACGTAAGACCGCGGCCTTGTATCAAGCACAATACATCCTGCGGGCGGCCATCTCGACAAGCGGGCAGAAACGAAGACGTAAGTTTAACGCGTTCCGCTGTTAGAAAAAAAAAGGAAAAAAAAAAAGAAGAAAGAAAAAAGCTCCGCGTCGTTCCCCGTAAGCTTCCCCTCAGCCCACGTAGCCCTGCCCCGCCAGCCGCGTCTCCGCAAATTGTTCCCATATTACCGACTTCTTTCCTCCACCAGTCGCCCTCCCACGGAACGATAACCTACGGTGCAGTGAAGAAAAGGCCGGTCGAGCGGAGGACCTAGGCCTCGGATCCCCATCCTCTGTGCCCCCACCCACCTCCACGACTATCATCCCTCCATATCCCTGCCTTCCTTCAGCTCTCGCGGTTCCCCACAGAAAGCCCGAGCTGGTTCGGGTTTGGTGGTGGAGAGGGGGGCGGGGGGGTAAACTCGAGTAAAAGCGGACCTCCTTATCAAAAGCCCCGATTGGGGTTCTATTCCGCTCCCACGGGACTTACCGGAATTTCGTGTCGAGCCACGGTGGTGAAGATGCCGAAACGCGGTGGAACAAAGTCAATAACGAGCCTAAAAATGTAGGCAGAGAGCAGAGGCTACAGAGCCGACGCCATCTTTGAGGGACACAGAAGCACGGCTGAGTGGGGGAGGGGAGGCATCCAGCCGTCAGGCACGGCCCAGGGACCGTCTGCATGGTGTCAGACGAGGAAGCAGGCACCGTCTCTATAATGTCACGCACGGATCCAGGGACGGGGGGGAAATTCACCGCAAAGCGCGGGAGCAAAGCGGCGGTGTGTGTTGTTGTTGTTATGAAAGGAGTGTGAAACCGGAACTGGCCGCACTCCTGGAGGTGCGCAGTTCAACACCTGCTCCTGTGAAGCACTTCAGACCATCATTTGTGTATATATAAAATATAAATATATACATTTTTACGTATACGTACGTACATTGCAACATTAAAGACCCTTTCAAGTAGTTAGAATATAAGCCCGCGCACATACACACGCGCGCGCCTTTCACTAACTTCAGACTATCGTTATTTGAAATTGGTCCTAAGAATTAGTCCTGAGAGCAAAAATTCTATGACGTTAACTTTGTTGTTAAATTTTTATTTATTAATTTAAAAATATAACAACATTCAGACGTAAGAAGCAGTGGCAATGCTACTTTCTACTTTCTGTTGCCTCCGGTCTCCAGCAACAAGTGCAACAACTTTTGTAGATCTCCACCCCGTGGTCATGGAACGATCAGCTCCAGCATCTTTCAAGAACAATTCTAGTGATAACGAACATCCTGGTTCAGGTCCGAAATCTCTAGAAGGAAATGACACTCGTTGAACGATGTCCTTTTTAAAAAAATGATTTTTCTGGGTATTTTGATAAGAGAAACAAATAAAAGACTCGCCCATGTTGACACTGATTGGTTTACTCAGGTACCGTTGGCCAATCAGGATGTTGCACCTGCTCCATAAACAGGCACACGGTCTCCTTCTCCTCCTCTGTCATGGGCGCGCTACTGAAGGATGCGCGCTCTCGTGTCTACGCTTCAGTCTGGTGTAAAAATCTGAAATATTTTAATTGATTTGTCAACACCAGGGGTCGCTGTCCAAACTCACGGGGGAGGCCAGTGCAATTCTTGTGGAATTACATCGCAAATCGTCGTAGTTTTTTATAAGGTGATATAATTTCACGGAGTGACGTCGATGGTGCGACTTAATGGTTAGCATTAAACTAAACCGACTCCGGACTGCTCCTTTTTAACCAGTTCTACCCTGGAGCTAAGCGTATTACAGGGAAGAGACATGAGGGGGAAAAAAAAAAGTTTCAGGACATCAGAAAGTTTTACGGCGTGCACCCTTTTGACCCCCGTCCCTTTAGGGGCTCTGGAGAACGGTGCATACTTTTTAACGTGATCTCAGACTCCTGATTTTACAGTGAAAAAAAAAATCGGAGAAACTAAAACGATCGAACTGATGATAAACCAGATCTAAAGGTCATCGAGGTCAAAGTCAGCCAATCGGTGACCAGCACATGTTCTGACGATAAAACCGGACTATAAATAATACTCTAAATGTTAGTGTCTTTTATTTTGAAGCTGCTCCACTGTTTCCTCTCTGACCTTCTCTTTTTTTACATTTTTTTTTTTTACAAGACTCTTCACTTTTGTCCAGAAATTGTTGCTAATTACGCGCCAATAATCGGAGCACGCGCGTCCGTTTGTGTGATTTTTATGTCATCGACTGTAAGTCAGGTTTGTGAGAAGAGACTGAGCAGCTTCAACAGACTCCGTTTTCTGTTGGTCCTCCCCAGCTGTCAGCCCCCCCCTCCTTCATCTAACGAGAGGTTGCCAAGGTGACAGGAGGCCACATGTCTTGGGGGTCACTGGCTGAAAAGACTCCATTGTTGTGCTTAAGCCGTCTTCAGTTTGGGGCTCGCCGCCGTCTGAACACTGTTTTATTTTATTTATTATTTTACTTCAGTTTATTGTCCCGGCCCAAAGATGGTCCTCTGACCTGAGGTTGGGGGGGGGGGGGGGGGGGCGAAGTGAGGATGAAGTTTAACAGGTCTGTAGTTAACTATAAGTTAAAACAGCTACTTGGACCAAACCTAACATCACTCATGCTTCTCAGGCTTCCACTAGATGGCGCTGTGACAACACCCATCCTGCACCACAGGCGATGGGAGTTAAGTCTTAAGAGGTCGGAGACTCAAATATTTGGGACATGGAGTCTAGATGTAAGGGTAAACAAAAACCCTAATGACCTGGGCAATAGTTTGTGGAACAACAACGTAATAAAATCGCAGGAAAAGCGGATCAATAAAAAGGATCGATTTAGAGCTGTCAATCAAGCTGTTAGTCAGGTCCAGTAATTATAATTAATCAAGAATTTCTTAAATGTTGAAAAAAAAAATCCCTGTAAATTGTTGGAACAGAGAGACCGACATCAGTAGCTAAAGGTCAGTGTTTCACATCAGGGTTTATTTGTGATAAGATGGAATGAATCATGGACGTGGTTCCATGGATTTGATTCTGCGTTTTTCTGTCGGCATGACAACGGTCATCGCTCCAGAGAGACGGGTCAATGAAGTGAACACTCATCCTTCGTAAAAAACCAAAACCAAAAACAAAAACCAAAAACTTTATTTTCTCTTCTCTAATCTGTGACGTTCATCCACCAGATGGAAAGTTATGACTGGTCCATCTGTAGAGTACATTAGTGGAGACAGTGACTGTCATCAGCACACACACACACAAACACAGGACGTCGGTAAAACCTGGAAGTGAACACAGCAGCAGAAACTGGTCCTGGCCTCTAAAAGACAGGAGGTGGTTTGGAGGGGGTGGGGGGAGCAGTTCTGGGGTCAGTACAATCACCACATCCAGGTCCAGTCCCCGTCACAGCAGATGTGATGTTGTGGTTTTCACCGCTTCCTCCGTTTTATTCCAAGAGTTAAAGATGTCCGGCGTCTCTCTTGACTTTTCCATCACACCGTTTCCTGCGTCTCCTCAGAGGCTGACGTCTGATTGGTCAGACTGGCTCCGACCAGTCGCCGGCTGCTTTTCCTCCTGAGGCTCCGACTGGACTGAGAGGGGGTCCAAGGCAACCAGGCCAGACCGACGTCGCTGTTGTCAGAGACCACGTTGCTTTGGTTCCTCAGGCTGCGGCGGACAGAACGCTGCCTCCTGCTGGCCACATGTTTAAAAACATCTTCGAAATAAAAGTCGACCTGTGAGGGAGCCGAGTCTGAGTTGCTGCTGTTGTTGTTGCCTCTCATGTCCCGCTCCGGTTCCTGTTCCACTTCATTTCCCGCCAGTGGAGGAGAGTGAAGGGGTTCTGATTCCTCAGCGGGCTCAGGGTCAGAGGTCAGGTCACTGTTGACCAATGTCTGTTTGGCCGAACTCTGCTGAGATGAACTTTGGTCTTCACTCTGCTCCACACCAAGGAGGTCAGAATCAGCAGCTCTGGCCCGTCTTTTCTTAGCTGAGTCGGGTGGCTGGACGCAGTTGTCCGACGTCTGGACCACCACGGGGGGAGTCGGATCCTCTACGCTACGGGCGATCTGGGCTGTGAGGTCGGTTTCTGAAGAGGCGCCACAGAGAAAAGGAGAAAATGTAAAAACAACGACTTACAGAAAAAATATTAACACGTGGAACATAAAATACTACAGGACTTGACCACTGACGGATCAGTCAGTACCTGAGGACGCAGCTGCCTCTGCGCCGGAACTATGCCTCTCCGTGATGGGGCTCAGAGTTGGGTTCTTGGAGGCGTACTCACGAGAGCCGTACAGTGAGCGGTCAACGCCCCTGCTCCAACGGCAACTTCCCGCGGAGGATTTCTGTCAAAAAAACAAAAAACAACTCTGTCGTCATGGAAACGTCGACTGTGAAAGTTCGAATACGGCAGTAAATCTAAGAAGTAAATGACGGCGTCATCGGAGAGGTCAGTGGTTTAAGTCTTTGGATCTAGTCGAACTGAAAGACAGGTTAACGAATCAGGTATGGGACCAGGTCATTGCTTCGCAAGTCACAAGGAAGTCTCGAGTCTTTGCACTCAAGTCCGAGTCAAGTCCCAAGTCCTGCCGTTTCTGTTTCAAGTCCTTTTAAAGAAAAAAAATACTATATTTGCACAGATCACCGCCACTCGTTTTTTGTTGACCACCTCGTAGTTTTTAAACCCGAACAACACGATCTTTGGTATAATTTTTCTCTCACCCGCGCGTTGTTCGACAGCTCTTCCTCATCGGTTGTCCCGCAATTTGATTGGCTCGACGCTATCGCGTCAAAACAATGTGGGTCTAACTTAATCCTTAATGACTTATTTTATAATCTGTGGGTTTTGGAGAAAGTACTGAATCTTGTCGAGTCAAAGGGCTCAAGTCCGAGTGAAGTCACGAGTCGTTGACGTAAAAGTCCAAGTCGAGTTTCAAGTCTTGTCATTTTGTCAAGTCGAGTCATCAAATTGATGACTCCAGGAGTCTGATTCGAGACCAAGTCATGCGACTCGAGTCCACACCTCTGGTTAGTAGTAGCGGTGTAAATCGGCAAAAATCTGGCGATACGATACATATCACGATAAGGGGGCAACAATACGATATATTGCGATACTTTAGTCACGACAATATATTGAGGTGTCCTCCCCGCCCCCAGTGTAGCTGTAGTCCAAGTGTGATCCCTGTACAATCAACTAGTGGTCGGAGGTTTAAATGCAACACAAAAACCACTCAATTTGCATTATGCGTTAAATGTGCTGTAGACTATCAAAATAAAATATCGTGAAAACTAAATATTGCGATATTTCACTTTATTGATATTCTGACACCCTTCGTTAGTAGATGTGAGGTGTACCGCAGTTGTGTGACTGTCTCACCTTCATCTTGCCACAGGCCGCCCTGGCAGAGGAGCGCGTCGACCTCCTGACAGAGTCGTTTTTTTTTGCCCTTTTTCTCCCGGATGTCACTGGAGCCGCAGCGTCACGCGTCCCGCAGGAAGTGATGACATCACTGTCAGACTCTGAGGAATAACGTTGTAAATATATAATATAAAAAATATATTATAGTCTGTGTAGGAGACTCACCTGTCTGAAACGACACCTCCTCACCCGAGGCAGAATTCACGCTCGACGGCTGAAAGTCCAAGCATTCTAGGATTTCAACAGACAGTGAGAACTTTTACGTCACAGATGCGTCCAATCCGCGTTCAGAAACGACACAAACCGCTGTAACGTACCTGCGTCGCTCGACATCACAGCGAAGATTTCCTTCGTGGAGGGGAGAACAATCTGGAAAACAACGTGACTCCAGTAAGAGCTTTGACGATTTTCTCCGTCTCAGAAACACAGACAAAATACTAGGGATGTCAGAGCAATTATGCTAATATCTGGCCAATAATATCTGCCGGCCAATAATATCGTTCAGATATTAGCATAATTACGTAATACCTGTAAGAATAGTTTTTTTTCCTCTGATAATGAAAACTAAATATTTAAAAACTAAATATTGAAAACTAAATATTGCGATATTTCACTTTATTGATAGTCCGACACCCTTCGTTAGTAGATGTGAGGTGTACCGCAGTTGTGTGACTGTCTCACCTTCATCTTGCCACAGGCCGCCCTGGCAGAGGAGCGCGTCGACCTCCTGACAGAGTCGTTTTTTCTTGCCCTTTTTCTCCCGGATGTCACTGGAGCCGCAGCGTCACGCGTCCCGGAGGAAGTGATGACATCACTGCCAGACTCTGAGGAAAAATGTTGTAAATATATAATATAAAAAATATATTATAGTCTGTGTAGGAGACTCACCTGTCTGAAACGACACCTCCTCACCTGAGGCAGAATTCACGCTCGACGGCTGAAAGTCCAAGCATTCTAGGATTTCAACAGACAGTGAGAACTTTTACGTCACAGATGCGTCCAATCCGCGTTCAGAAACGACACAAACCGCTGTAACGTACCTGCGTCGCTCGACATCACAGCGAAGATTTCCTTTGTGGAGGGGAGAACAATCTGGAAAACAACGTGACTCCAGTAAGAGCTTTGACGATTTTCTCCGTCTCAGAAACACAGACAAAATACTAGGGATGTCAGAGCAATTATGCTAATATCTGGCCAATAATATCTGCCGGCCAATAATACCTGTAAGAATAGTTTTTTTTCCTCTGATAATGAAAACCCGATAACCTGCAAACTAATGATGTGTGCCCTAAAATTAGTTTTGGGGAAAAACAGCTGTATATGAAAGTGAAGGTCACTAGATGGCAGCATCGCAGCTTCTTTTATTAATTTATTTTAATATTTAAAGGGTTGTATGCTGGTTTGTATAGATAAATAAGTAAATATCACCAGGCCCTCAATAATATTTCTAATATTTGGGTGGTAAGGGGGATGAAAAAACTTCTGTCCACTAGGGGGAGTATGGCAGAAAATAATTGAGAAACACTGCTTTAACCCATCACTTTAGTGAGCAGGTGTATCGGTTGATATCAAAATCGAAAATTAAGTGTTCGGACAATGTCGGAAAATATATATATAAATATATAAATGTATATCAGACATCCCTACAAAATACAAGAAATACTGTGAGAAGAGTTTTCCCCCAATGTTGTCACGTTCACCCCCGTCTCTCACCTTAACCTCCTCCTCCTCCTCCACGTCAGTCCTTTCTCCCTCGTCTTCGAACGTCACCCGTGACCTGTGAGGAAGCATCAGCGACGGAGAGGCACTGAGCTCAATCAGGCTACTGAGATCAGGCCGACCGCACGTCCTCGGGGTCTCACTCCGCCCGGACTTCTTCAGCACTGACTGAAGCGTCAGGCCTCGCGCCGGGGTGGGGGCACGGAAGGGGGTGCCTCCCTTCTGTAACGGAGTGCTCGGGGGCAGGTTCTTATCGAATAACTCAGGGGAGAGAAGGCCTCCAAAGTGAACTTTCTTCTCCTTCTTCCTCACAGGAGACGTCCCAGAAGAGTCTTCGTCTCCTGCCGAGAGTCAAAATGTCAGATTCGCCACTACAAACCTTCAAACATCTGAGTATAAAAAAATGAACTTGTGACGAATATTTTTTAGATCCAGACCCAGACAACAGTTTAGATCCATTACCTGACGACCTGATCCCCGACACAGAAGGACGACAGGGGGTGAGAAGGGGGAAGACGGGATCTTCATGTGGTGGGGGGACAGAACTCTGAGTAGGGAGAAGTTCCTTCTGTTGAAAGATGAAAAATGAAAGGACCCCTGAGCTGGACCCTGGTCTGAGGGTCACCAGTAAGGGCGGGCACACACTGTACGATTTTAGCGTGTTTTTTACCCGATTTTTGAGACGCACGACCTGGCGACTCTCGGCCCGATTCCACGTTTCGTCGGGCGTCTTTTTCCATACAGTGTACAGGGTGGTAACAAGGGCCGATTATCTGTTCCCGAACCACCGTCGGACGGTCGGAAGAATTTCTGACATGTCGGAAATTTTTTATCGGCCGACAAATTCTTTCGCACAGTGGAAAGCGCAAAGTGATAGTAACCATGGCGAGGCGTCAGTGGCACGAAAATATGGAGGCGAGATTGACAGAGCTGTGGCACTGTCCACGATAAACGTAATAAATAAACAATAAACGTACTGTCCATGTTTATCGAGCCATCTCTGACTCCAGATGCGCTGGCGCCTCTTCTTTTCCGAAATTTCAGTGCACAGTATTGCAGCAATCATAAGGACAGCCTTCTTCTTTTTGAATAGCATGTTAATGCTAGCATGTAATAACCAGCGTCTGCGCTTTCAAATAAATCTTTATTGACAGCTGTCATTAGACAGGACAGTCAGCAAGGGGCGACGGGCCGTTTTCACCCGCACAGTGTGAGCTCTCTGGTCGTGTTCGATGATCGGACCGTACAGTGTACAGAGTACATAAATCATGTACATCATAGACGATCACTCGTACAGTGTGTGATGGTATCAACGACAAGAGAAAAGTACAACCAAAAACGAAACACTACCTCCTTCAGGTGAACAGGACTCGGGGGGGTCTCCGATGGTGGGTGGTTCTCCTTACCGTTGTCATCTGTTTGTCCAACAAAGATACATTAACACGTCAACAAATGAGTTCCGCAGAGACAGAGATAAATTTGATTCTAAAGAGGGCTTCCCCCCAGTGGTCACCTCGTGTCCTCTCCTGCTTTGGTGTCAATTCATAAACCTCCTTTTCCTCCAAGTCCATCAGGTTTTGGAAGGATGCAATCTTCTGTCTCAGGGTCAACGTAGCCTGAGGAGGGAAGGGGCAAACGTTGACGGATATGTTGAGATGTATTCATTGTATTTAGTCTTGATTGTAACTTGTCATAACTGGTCTTAATTAATCCAGATTATTAACATCGCTGTAAACTACTGGAATACAAAGACCTCAACAGCACCTCTAGAGTTCCAACTTCTCTGACGTAACGTACGTGACTGGAACTAAACGCTAACAAAAATACAAATGAACTAAAAAGTACCACTCCGATCTGATCTTTTAAATCCCGATACAGGTACTGATACCTAGCCTCCGATACCAATCCGATATTTTAGTTAAAATAATAATAATCATCATCTTCATCATCATCATACCGGTGTTGGTGGAGTTTTCATCCTCTGTTGTGCCATGAAGCGAATGAGAGTGTTTGTCTCTGGTGAACCTCGAACACCAATAGTAGAGCGCCTCCGTCTGGCCTTTATTTTTGCGGGATTGTCTATAAGAGAAAAAAAAAAAGTAATTAAATTTGTCATAACAATCATCGACAATATACATTCTGAATGTAAACAAAGCGATTCATTTTTTGTTTGTTTGGTTTTGTTTTTTTTTATGGAGAACATTTATTTACCTTTGCTCGTCAACAGTGTTGGGATAAAACTCTGACTGCTGATGCCAAAATGACATGGTGAGAGTTCAGAGAAGTGTGCGGGAGTGGAAGAGTTGTCAAAATCCGGGTGAGACATTGTCACCTTCTTGTCTCCCTCTGAGTTGGCAGCGCTCATCTCATCGCCTGGCATCTGCTGGTGAACCGACCACGAAAACAAGTTTAAGATAAAAAAACAAACAAAAAAACCAAGCAGCAATAAAAACTCAATTTTTTAAAAGTCAATTACAAATAATGTTATTTGTTTTGTTGTCAGACAGGTGGCTGCACAGGAACCCATTTTTTACCTGATTTCAGTCACAAGGATGTTTACTTTGAAATTTAAAGATAGAACCTGTAACTGAAGCCAGTTTGTGGTAAATAATAATCACATGTTGTTGTTATATATATATATATATATATATATATATATATATATATATATATATATATATACATACACACATATATATATATATATATATATACACATATACTGTATACATACATGTATACATATATGTAAATATATATATAAGTACATATATACATATACATACAGTTATATACACATATAATATAAAATATATACACATATGTATATACATACATATACAGCATGTATGTGATAACAAATGCATGTATGTGTAACATACACATACATATAACCCAGTTTGTGGTAAATAATAAGCACATGTTATATATACATACATACAAACATAGATATATATACATACATACATATACAAATGTACTGTATATATATGTAGCAAGGCAAGTGAAATCGATAAAATCTAGTGTCGACTAGACACGTCTACTACAAAAAACTTAGAATCTTCCAGAAACTTCCAGCCGCTGCATCTCTAATTAAATTCCTTTAACTTCACAGTAGATTTTAATAAGTTAAGGAGTGAAAGACTGGTTCGTGTTTCGCTAAAGCGCTCACACTGACTATTTACCAAATTAAAAAGGAGAGTAAAACGGTGTATATTTTTTTCACACACGGGATAATTAAGTTTGTGATTAAAAACAAACATTATTTTACTGTTACTGTTCTCGGTTGTTACGAATTAAACACCCGCCGACATGGTTTTTATTATGTCTAACAGTCTTTACATGTAACTTTAGCCTAGCTAGTCAAAGAGCTAACAACGAAAATAATGCGAAATCCACAGACAATTACCTCGCATTAAAAAATACCCGTTATGTCCTTCGGTTGCTACATTATAACAACGTTATGGATTAAAATGTTGATAAAACAGTTTTTTTTAAAAACTAAAAGGAGAACAGAACCGCCGGTGACAGTTCAAATAACCAGAGGACGGAAGCGTGGTGACGCTATAACCGTGTATCACTCCACGAAAACTCTCTTAAATTATTATTATATATTTTGCCAAACAAAATCTAAAACATTGAGTATAATTTAGCATTTGTATTTGCCGCGTAAAATAAACACTTACTAAAAGAGACGTTAGACAGAAGGGTGAAGCTGTTTTGTCAACGTTGAAGAGCGGGTCGGAACTTATTTAATATGAATTGACCAATAGGAGCGGTCCAGTGAGAATCACGTGATTTACTTTAGCGGAACTACACGCTGCCCCTTCAAAATAAAATGTCGAGTTCGCTCTTTCTGTTATTGTCATTCGACAATAACTTTTTTGTCAAAATAAATCCCGGTAAAGCTAAAGCTGTGTAGCTAGCCATGTAGCCGGTCCTAGGTTAGGTTAGGGACTGTCTGACAGATTACATCTTTTATTTGCTTTAGCGTAGGCTGTCACTACGGAAGCGTATTGCTGCCACACTGCGAAAAAAAGGCTCAGTTTCACGTAATTACGTGATAAGTTTTACCTTACTACGTGATTAGTTTTGCATTATTTCGTGATAAGTTTTACGTTCACTTATTTTGTGATAAGTTCGACGTGAACGTAAAACCTATCACGAAATAACGTAAAACGTATCACGTAGTAACGTAAAACTTATCACGAAATAACGTAAAACGTATCATGAAATAACGTAAAATGTTGTCACGTAGTAATGTAAAACTTATCACGTAATAACATAAAACTTATCACGTAGTAACGTAAAACGTATCACGAAATAACGTAAAACGTATCACGTAATAACGTAAAACGTATCACGAAATACCGTAAAACGTATCACGAAATAATGTAAAACTTATCACGAAATAACGTAAAATTGATCACGTAGTAACGTAAAACTTATCACGTAATAACATAAAACTTATCACGTAGTAACGTAAAACTTATCACGTAATAACATAAAACTTATCACGTAGTAACGTAAAACTTATCATGAAATAACGTAAAACCTATTACGAAATAACATAAAACTTATCACGTAGTAACGTAAAACTTATCACGTAGTAACGTAAAACTTATCACGTAGTAACGTAAAACTTATCATGAAATAACGTAAAACCTATTACGAAATAACATAAAACTTATCACGTAGTAACGTAAAACTTATCACGAAATAACGTAAAGCTTATCACGTAATTACGTAAAACTGAGCAATTTTTCCTCAGTGTGGCAGCAATACGCGTCCGTACTTTCTCAGAAACACTAAACCATATATATATTTTTTCTTTTTATCCAACATCGTGTTGATCGAAGGGATATGTCGGAGTAAACCCAACATTAAATAACGTAAATAACCAACAAGGGATCGTCTGCAGCCATCTCTCTCTCTCTCTCTCTTTTATTTTTGTATATACACATATAAAAAATAAGAACATATGTACAATGATAATAAATATCAAAACATTTGTACAAGTGAAATAAGTTACTTAACATATTTTAAAAAACAAACATTACAGACCAGCGATGTTGCACAAAAACAATGCCGAGCAGAAAAAAAAAAAAAAAATTCAAAAAGTGTTGAAGGAGAGAAATGACATAAGAAGAAGCGTTGTTTCATAACTGAGCCGAAGGACATGCCGCGGACTGGATGTGCACTCTTTTTTTTCATTCTTCTTTTTTATTTTTCAGAGGAAAGTTTTTTGGGACTTTTTCACAAAAAATCTGCAAAATCTCCGACTTTCGGAGCTTAAAAATATATTTTTTCATAAGTCACAATGCAGTGCATATTTTTCTTTTTTTTTCCATCACTCCATTTGTTTACATTCAGCAACTGGTCGCCGACATCTTCAACCTCACACGCCATTCGCGAGAACGAGACTTCGTGTGCCTATATACAGACTTCCTGTCAGGTAGACAGGGCTACGCATCAAAAATCATACGTTAGAAAAAAAAAAAACCACAGACGTTTTGTTCTTGACTAATAACTGTACTGTGGAAAAACAGAAGCGTAAAAAAAATAAACGAAATAAAAAGTCGGTGTCCGGAGAAGGTTATCAACGTAACTCTGAAAAAAAAAAAAATCATATCAGATCGTGAATTTACAGTGGAGTACCGAGGCCATACTGAGGGGGAGGAAATACTCAATTTTTTTGAGACAAAAATTAATAAAAATATGCTTGTAACATTAGCGGAAGAAAAACGTGTTTAATGACGATAAAATGGCGTACTTTTAGGGTAAAAAGTGCTAAGTTAGCATTTATTTGGGAAAATATGCGATAGAACGATCACATCATCTTGAGATATTATACTCTAGCATTGGTTGCACAAATGAGAGAAACGTTAACGTCACCGCGTCGCAATGTTTACAACTAACATTACGATGATGTATTTCAACCTTCTCAAAATGGCCCCCGATACTCTGTGGTGGTGTGAATATATTGACTCGTGATTTCATTTAAAAGTCGGACTCTTATCATATATACATACATTTGCAGGGAGGTGGATTTTAAATAAAGCTAATGTAAATAAAGTGTCAGCGGAGCTGTCACCACCAGTGTACGATTTTTTCTTCTTTTTCTGTTGCGTTACAATGGCGTGGACACAGACTGATCAACAACAGACAAAGACAAAAATGAATTGGTCAGTTTTCAGGAAATGATTCAGCCTCGGATTCATATCAAACAACAGTAAACACAACGGTTGAATTCACGTCTCTCTCTGTGTGTGTTTTATCAGCAGGTAAACTACGTAGACGTCGGCCCAGTGGGTGAAGGAATGCTGAAATAAAAAATAAAAAAGTCTCAGTTTTTTAAAGCAGAAAGAAGCCAGTTCACTGCTGCGCATGTAAGAAACCAACAATAAAACCAGGGATTCATTTTTTTAAATTATTAACATTTCACTCGTCTTGCATCATTTTTTTTAAAGATATTAGTTTAAGTCAAAGTAAAAAAAAACTAACAGAAATAATTCACTTGTACAAGGACGATGATCATCATCATCAAAGAGGATCATGCAACATTCTGCAGAGAAGTGACAGCTTCGATAATCGTATTTATAAATGATCTACATCCGTTCTTCACATCAACGACTTTCCTTTTCGTTTTTCCTTTACCTCCGTCCTGCTGTTTAACCCCGCCCCTCCTTAACAAAAAAAATTAAAATTAAATAATTTAACATTTAAAACTTTTAGGGAACATTTCTATTATCACATGTAGGGTTGGCAGTGTTTGGAGGTTTAACTTGCCCGTTTTGCGACCGAACAAAACGGGCAAGTTTGGCGTGGAAGCTAATGCTAACACTTACGTTTGTCAATAAATATTTTTATTTGACTTATTTACTTTTACTGATAACCAGATAGCGTGTTTATCGGTGCATCGTTACCAATGCTGGGGGAATTGGCTAACGGCTAACAGCTAACAAAACAGCAGCTATAGTTAATGCTTGATAAACGTATTTGTACTGTAGCATCCTGTGCTGGGCAGTGAGATGCTAACACACGTTTGCATTCAGTTGCTAACACCCGTTAGCATTCAGTTGCTAACACACGTTAGCATTCAGTTGCTAACACACATTAGCATCTCGCTTCACTGAAAACAAACGGTGAAAATCGTTTTTTGAATTTGACACTTGATGCTTCGGCTCCGCCCATTATTAGCATTTTTGTTTTTCGTCACATCCTGTTCTTTTTTCTACAATAGTTTTTTTTTTACTGCATTTTCAACTACAGCGCCTCAACAGGAGACCTCCGGATAAAAAAAAAACAGACAGGAAGTGGAACAGCATGCAAGGAAGTATGCGCTAATCAGAGCATCAGTCGACCAACCAGCATGCTAACATGCAGATATTCACTTATTAGCTGCGATGTTGAATCGTATAAAAAAATTAGGCTAAATTAGTCGATTAGCATAAACCAGCAAGTTAAATTATAAACCGATAGATAAAAACAACAAAAGTCAGTGGAGTTAGTCTGGGGAACAAAAAAAAAAATAAAAAAAATAATAAAATGTTAATTGAAAACAACATTTTTAACATTTGCGTTCTCTCCGATAGCTAAGAAGATTAGCAGCTCACAAATAAGAATTGAGCTGAAGACTTAGCTTAGCGTTAAGAAAAAAGTCGCGCAGAAATTTAAGTTTTTGTTCAGTTTTCTCAAAAAAAAAAAAGTGCATTCTTCAGATATGAGCGTTGGATCTTTGGTAAAGCCAATCAAATCAGAGAAGAAATGTTTCGTCATTAAAACAGCAGACGGTTATTTCTACGAACAAACAATAATTTTGTTATTATTATTATTATTATTGTAATCTTTCCCCGTGTCACTGACGGCAGAACGTCGTTCTGGTGGTAACAACAACAACAACAACAACAACATGCTTACACATGGAACTCCACGACAACCGTTTGAACTTTGAACGTGACGTTAACGTGAGAACAGCCAGATCAGCAGGGTAAACAACGCAAACGACAGAAACAGAAACACGGCCGAGCAGCACTCGAGCAGAACCGATTTCTGGACAGAACTGAACGAAATACAGCGCTTCTCAAACTGTGTCACGGTACCACTGCTGGTACACGGGCTCCCTCTAGTGGTATATGTAAGGGACTCCTCGAGTCACTTCATATAGTTCTTTTTTGTTTTTTGTTTTAAATACAGGTAGGTGTTCACAATCTGTAGGACTGTACAGTGGCCTGTAGGGGGCGTCGTAAACCACCATGTGAACGTGCATTTAAGGGTCACCGCAGGGTTTAAGAGAGACTGTAAACACTGACCCTAGCAGGAATCGAGGGAGGTGGGGGGTAACACTGCTGTTGTCCGTAAGACGTAGAAACACAACAACAACAACAACAACAAAAAAACAACAATCAAAAAAACCATGGCAGCAGGTAAAGCAGGAGGATCAGCAGGTAAATACCACCGTGTCTCCGGACACTCCTTCATTTTGAAAAAAAAAAACCTCCTCTAAGATGCACTTGAATCAACGTCACCTCCTCCTCCTCCTCCTCCCCAAAAGAACATGATTGTCGTCTGGCGTCCACATTAGTTAGCCTTTTTTAACTACTCTCGCACCCATGGCTCACAAGTACAAAAAGAATCGGAAGACGGGCTCCCAGTGTTCAAGTGCAATAAGCTGAAAAAGTCTCGAAGAAGACCAAGTCGGACAGTCCAATGTTTCCGAACGTCTGTCGGGACTGAGACCTCCCCCCCTCCTCCCCCTTTCATCTGCAGACTCCTGCTGCTCTCGCTGTTTTTGGTTTTCCAAACGTACAAAGTTACTCCGGCGTCGGAGCGCGTCGTCCACCGCCGGAGAATGTGTTTTTTTTAAAGAACATGCTGTGTTTAATAACCGTCGACAGTCAACCACACAGGCAACGGTAGAGCAGCACAAAGGAGAATGAACAGCTTTGCCTCTGAAGCAGAGAAGTGCGCCCTCAACAGGAGGGAGGTAGGTTGGTCGGTTGTTTTTTTCATTTCTCAAACAATCGCGCAACGAGGGTAGACGGCCCCTAGACAGACGACTCCTCGGGGTTTGCGTCGGGCAGAACGCTCCTCTGCTGCAGGGTGCGTCGAAGCTCTTCCTTGAAGGGACTGGCGTAATTGTTCCCGTCCATGCCCAGGCCCCCCAGCCCGCCACCGCTAGCGCCAGCACTGCTAGCCCGCTCCTCCCCCGCTGTGCTCAGATTGAGGCGGATGTAACCGTTGCTACCGGAGCCTCTGATGTTGGTCAGGCTAAGACGGCTGGGGGAGTGGATGGGCTGGCCAGGGATGGCGCTGGGTGTGGCCGTGCTGACACTGTTGGGGCCTAGGGCATGACCGGGAACGATCTTCAGGGACCCGTCTGAGTAATAGTAGTTGGCGCCCGTCTCCCAGAAACGGTCCTCATCGCTGGGCATCTTGCTTGGCACGAAGGTGGGGGGCTCCTTGGGCAGAGTGATGGGATACACCAGGGTGCTCTCTAGGGGCTTCATGTCGGCCCCCTTCCCTAAGGCCAGCTTCAGCCTCCGGCGCAGGTACAGAGCGGCCACAAAGAGCAGTAAGCAGGCCGCTCCCAGGGTGATGACCAGAACCCAGAACAGACCCATGCTGCTGTCCGGGGCGCGGGCCTCCATGAAAACTGGGGAGCTGTCCACCACGGCCACCTGGTAACGCTCGGTTTGAAACCTGACCCCGTGCTCCTCGGAGTAGCAGATGTAGCGCCCGGCGTGCGTCTGGCCCGCCGACGGGATCACAAGGGCTTTGAGGGTGAGGTCGAAGCGAGGCCCGCCGGCGTCCGGGTCACCCAGGAGGAGCTCGCGGTCGTTCAGCACCCAGCAGGGCTGAGCCAGGTTGGAGACCAGTTGGCAAGGCAGCACCATGTCGGACCCCACCACCACCGTCACGTTCTTCAGCCGGGAATGTTCTGTGAGCAGAGACAGAAGGGAGTCAGGAGTCCAGTCAAATCTGGGAGCAGGTTTTTTAAAGACGTGTGACTCTGTACCCACCGGGACTGCTGATGGAGACCGTCTTGACAAACTTTGTCTTCCCTCTGCTGAATCTCCTCCAACATGAGGTCCTGCGACAGTGTCGACGTGGACCTGAAGGTGGAAGGAGAAGGTCAAACACCTGGAGTGGAAAAACCCCACTCTTTACAGAAACACATTTTTTTGGGGGTTTTTTGGCGGGTTTGTGGGTCTCACCCGCGGTGCAGGTCAATCCGAACACAGGCCTGACCCTCGCTGTCCCAGGCGCAGTACGGGTCTCTGGACAGCAGACAGTCTGGCAGGGACTTGTAGCGGCTGCAGTTGGCCAGTGGCAGCTGGAGAACCTCGGAGCGAGAACCCACGTACAAGTACTTCTGAGGGACAGACGTCCAAGAAACAGAAAAGTCAGAAAAGTCGCTCTTCATTTCACTTGAATTTTTTTTTTGGGGTCTTTTTTT